GACTTTGGTTTATCCATTGTATATTGTTGGTTCTCACGTTGAAAATCAGGTTGTCCTCGGTTTATCAGTTTATTTCTGAACTCTCCATATCTATTTATGCCTATCCCATCTTGTTTTTATTACTCTACTTTTGTAATTACTTTTGAAATCTGGAAGTAAAATCCCTTCAAGTTTATTCTTGCCTTGTTACAGATACTATAGCAAAATATTTTAACATTTTACTATTAACTAAGTATGGTAGTAGATATAGATTTTCATAATGACTTTTATCATGTACAGGTTATACTTATTTTTTCCTACTTTTTAGAGTTTTTTATGAAATCTTGATTTTTATATGTTATTATCTGTGTCTAGTGAGAATTTAATGGAAATTTTTTTCTTTATTCTCTTAATTGAGCACATGAAATATATTGACTTGAGGATGTTGAGTCATCTGTGCATCTTTTTTTTTTTTTTTTTTTTTTGAGACTGAGTCTTGCTCTGTCACCCAGGCTGGAGTGCAGTGGTGCAATCTTGGCTCTCTGCAACCTCCGCCTCCCAGGCTCAAGTAATTCTCCTGCCTCAGCCTCCCAAGTAGCTGGGATTACAGGCATGTGCCACCACACCCAGATAACTTTTGTATTTTTAGTAGAGACGAGGTTTAACATGTTGGCCATGCTGGTCTTAAATGCCTGACCTCAGGTGGTTCATCACCTCACCCTCCCAAAGTGCTGGGATTACAGGTGTGACTAACTGCACCCAGTCAGTGTATGAACCTTTTAAAGTCCTCTAGAACTTAGTTGACTATTACTTGGGAGTAGTTTATTTATATATACTAAGAATATTTGAAGTTTAACTTTCTTCTTTTGCCATTGTCGATTACTGGTAATACGGTTATTGTAGCCTTTTAAAGAGAGTTTAGAAGGTTGGAGCCTCACCGATTTTTGAAAAAGTTAGAGAACAGTTGGCATTATTATTTTTTTAATTTTGAAATTTAATTTTTATCTAACATACAACCTATCATAAAGAATATTTATTGTGTGCTTGGGATGCATGTATATTACGCTGCTCTTGGTTGGAAGGTTCTGTAGATGTCTATTAGGTCGGTTTGTTCAATAGTGTTGGTTAAATTCACTGGCTTCCTAAGAATGTTTTGCGGATGTTCTATACATTATTGAGGGTGAGGTGTTGAAGTCTCCTCCTTTTTATTGTTTTCTATTTCTACCTTCATATCTCTTAAAGTTGATCAATACAGTTACATTTCTATTTTTACAAGTATGTAAAATAGAAATCAAATAATCATTGCTTAGTAATTTTAATGGGAAAATCACATAATAAGAAATTATGTTTCCCAAATGCTGCCATCACCACTACGCTCCTCCAGGAGTCCCACGTCTGCTCTGGGCTTTGCTCTCTCCTCAGAAGACCCACCTCAGAGTTTGCTACAGAGGAGGACACACAAACAGGACCCTCCCCTCCTGATGAAAACTAGCCCAGCCCTGACCCACAGCTCTGGAGAAGAGCCCCAGTCTAGAATTATCAGGAGTTTTGATTTGACGATCAGCTCTCAACACAGATGGCTCACCATAGAGTTAGGGCTGAGCTGGGTTTTTCTTGTTGCTATTTTAAAAGGCAAATAATGGAGAATTAGAGATATTGAGTGTGAGTGGATATGAGTGAAAAACATGATTATATGCAACAGTTTCTTACCAAAATGTCTCTATGTTTGTAAGTGTCTAGGGTGAGGTGCAGGTGGTGGAGTCTGAGAAAGAGGCAAGAGGCAGAAAAGTGTGTAGGAGGCTGGGTGAGGCTGTAGACGGTATCATCCCACGATGCCAATCCAAGAAGGTTGATGTGAGAGCCTCCAGGAATGAATAACTTGACAACTCATGTGCTCGAGCAGTTTCAATTCTTAATTTTCCACACTGATATATCCAGAAAGTCAGCTTCACTTCCCAGGTGACTCCCATCATTCAGTGAATGGTGACAACATTCCCAGGGGTCACACGCATATTTTAAATATTGGCTGGAAGTGGGTAAGAGATATTTTTGTAACTCTCCTCTGAAAGACTAGGAACACTTCAACAGACCATCTCCCTGTCCTCATGACTAGAACTTCACCACATGCCCACATCGACACTCATCCCTGATGGGGATAAAAAGACTCCATTGATGAGGCTGACTCTTTTATTACATAAAATTACTTAAGACTGACATAAAATTTTCAAAACTAATGGAATTCTGTTATTCTATGTCCACCAGAGACTACAGATCTTCCAACGGTATCTCCCTTGTCTTCTCTACTTCACTTTGTCTCTTGACCTTGTTCTGTCCTCCAGACAATCTCTTTCAGCTCCCTCAGGTTCATGCAGTTGTTTTATTTACCGACAATTTCTAAATCAGTGCAAGGCATTAGGCTAAAGGCTCTGTATTCCTAGGTCCATATTCCTTTGTCCATATTCCTAAGAAGGCTTTGTGACCCTGTGTCTGGGCATGAGCTTGTGATCGTTCCTGACCCTTCTCTAGATGGCATGCTGGTCTTTGTTTTCTTGCCCCTTTCCCTGGGGTAGAGTCTCCCTGTTTCTCTGAGGTGTTCCCTACCACAGCTTCAGTGTTCTCCACCTGTGTCCTCACCTTCCAGATCTACTGCCCTGCCCTGCAGACTAAGGCTCTGATTCCATAAGAAACAGGGGAATTGCTTCCCAGTAAAACTTTGATGGGGAACTCTGTTCCCATCTCCATTCCTGATAGGTTGCAGCAGTGCCTTTAGGATATGTATTTTGGTGATTTTCCTCTGCGGAGTAATTTCTTAGTTCTGTAGTGGGGATAGGAGAGTTGGGCTTGTACACATTTCAGAAGTGTGGGCTCTTATATTCTTTCAGACAGACACTTTGGGAAGGGAAGATTTTCGTGACTGTTCCAATTATAAAGAAAAGGAATGGTCAATCCCAAGATGGCTGAATAAGAGGCAGCTCCAGAAAGCAGCTCCCAGTGAGAGAAGTGCAGAAACCGAGTGGTCTCCACAATTCCAAACGAGTTACCAGGTTCATTTTATGGGTCTGATAGGACAGTGGTTATAAACACCAAAAACAATGGCAACAAAAAAACAAAATAGACAAATGGGGTCTAATTAAACTCCAGAGTTTCTGTATAGCAAAGGAAACAATCATTAGAATGAACCAGTAACCCGACAAAATGGAAAAAAACAATTTGCAGTCTACCTATCTGAGAAAGGGCTAATATCCAGAATCAATGAAGAACTAAAACAGATTTACAAGAAAAAAAAAGCCCATTCAAAAGTGGGTGAAGGATATGAACAGACACCCTAAAAAAGAAGACATCTATGAGACCAACAAACATATGAAAAAATGCTCATCATCACTGGTCATTAGAGAAATGCAAATCAAAACCACATTGAGATACCATCTCACACCAGTTCAAATGGCGATCATTAAAAAACCTGGAGACAACAGATGCTGGAGAGGATGTGGAGAAATAGGAATGCTTTTACACTCCTGGTGGGTATGCAAATTAGCACAACCATTGTGGAAGACAATGTGGTGATTCTTCAAGGACCTAGAAATAGAAATACCATTTGACCCAGAAATCCCATTACTGGGTATGTACCCAAAGAATTATAAATCATTCTATTATAAACACAAATGCATATGTATGTTTATTGTGACACTTTTTACAATAGCAAAGACTTGGAACCAACCTAAATGTCCATCAATGATAGGCTGAATAAAGAAAATGTGGCACATACACAACATGGAATGCTATGTACCCATAAAAAAGGATGAGTTCATGTCCTTTGCAGGGACATGGGTGAAGATTGAAACACTCATTCTCAGCAAACTGACACAAGAACAGAAAACCAAACACTGCATGTTCTCACTCATAAGTGAGTGTTGAACAACAAGAACATATGAACACAGGGAGGGATTGAGGGGACTGGGGGTGTGGAAACAGGGATTGGGAGGATTTGGGAGGGAATAACATTAGGAGAAATACCTAATGTAGATGACGGGGGGATGGATGCAGCAAACTACTGTGGTATGTGTATACTTAGGTAACAATCCCGCATAATCTGCACATGTACCCCAGAACTTAAAGTATAAAAAAATTCAAAACAAAAAAAAAATTAGTACTTGTCTCTGAATATGTTGGAAGAAGGCAAAGAGAAAGGATAAGGAAATGTAGAAGGATAGAAGAAAAGTTGAGGTAATTTAACTTGTCCGCCTTCTTGATAATGGTAATAGTTATGTCATGATTATCAATTTTATACTTTAAATATGTAAAGTGTATAATCTGTCAATCAAACCCTATAAAATTTATAACAATGAAACAAGTTGAATATTAGACAGGGTAGGAGTGGCAGAAAGATAGATACCAGTATGTTAATTGTCAGAGTTCTATCTGAACCCTAGTTCTCTCCATAGTTTTAGGTAAAAAGGAGAACACAGCAAAATCACATCCATTCTCATCAAGCAGTGGCTCCTGCAAACCACACTAGACATGTCCAGCTCTGTCCTGGAGTTGGCTAAGGGGGAGCCAGGGCCAGTGGTGAGAAGCACAGGCCCAGATACCAGCACTCACTCATCCCAGACATGAACTCTGAGATACATACGGAGCTTGTCCATATGTGGGCTTACTTTCACATCTATAAACAGAGAACATTGACTCCTATGAAACATAGTTTACACGCATAGATAAAACTGAAATAAGGTGATCAATACAAAGTTTCTATTACAGTACAATTTAATAATAAGCACATTTCCTCAAACCCCAGTGTTGTCACCAGTTTTCCTCAGGACACCCTCATCTGCTCGGGGCCCTGCTTTCTCTTTACGTGTCTCACCCCACAGCTTGCTATATAGCGGTAGACATGCAAATAGGGCCCTCCCTCTTCTGATGAAAATCAGCCTAGCCCTGACCCTGCAGCTCTGGGAGAGTAGCCCAGCCCCAGGATTCCAAAGTGTTTCTGCTTGCTGAGCAGGATGCCACAGAGAGCACTCACCATGAAGTATGAGCTGAGCTGGGATTTCCTTGTTGCTATTTTAAAAGGTAATTCATGGAGAACTATTGAAATTGAGTGTGAGTGATAAGAGTGAGATAAACCGTGGATATGTTTGGCAGTTTCTGACCAGAATGTCTTTGTGTTTGCAGGTGTCCAGTGTGAGGTGCAGCTGGTGGAGTCTGGGGGAGGCTTGGTCCAGCCTGGGGGGGTCCCTGAGACTCTCCTATGCAGCCTCTGGATTCACCTTCAGTAACTACTTCATGGACTGGGTCCGCCAGGCTCCAGGGAAGGGGCCGGAGTGGGTGGCAGTTATATGGTATGGTGGAAGTCATGCCATATGCAGACTCCGTGAAGGACCGATTCACCACCTCCAGAGACAATTCCAAGAACATGCTATATTTTCAAATGAACAGCCTGAGAGTGGAGGACATGGCCGTGTATTACTGTGTGAAAGACACAGTGAGAAGAGGTCAGTTGTGAGCCCATACACAAACCTCCTGTAGAAACTCTGGTGGGAATCAGCTGCAGGGTTCGCTCAGGACCCACTGATCAGAGTCAACCCCAGAGGCAGGTGCAGGTGGAGGCTGATTTCCTGTCAGGATGTGAGACTTCATCTTATTCTGATGGTTTCCCCAGGGAACCTCTCTGTGTTGAGAATTCTGTGCCTAACAATGTCTTCTCTGTGTACTTGAAAGAAATTATTTTAATAAGAGAACCTATTCTCATGGGCACAAAATGCAGAATGACACTTTCAGGAATGAAAATTCCTCAACCATGGTCACCAGGATTAAAGTCGCGAATAATCTCAGGGCTTCCTGGTGAGTCTTTTCCAATAAGACCCAGGACAGGTACCTCAGCGAGATTCCCTGACTAGAACAGAAGTTATGGATCCTGATCACAGACAATAGAGAGGCTGGGCCAGGGTCAGTGTCATGTGGAACCTTCTCCTGATGCTAAGGTATACAAACCAGCAACAACAATGATCTGGTGCTTCTCTTCTTCATAATTCATTTACTTTTTTAAATTGTTGTTCTCATTTTTACATTTGCTTTCCCTGCTTCCTGAAAAAGGAAGATGTTATTTCCCTGTGGTCCAGGCCTGAATCCGTTTCCCTGGAGCTCAGGTGGGGCTTAAACTGTGGCTTCTGGAGTTACGTGGGAGAGGCTGGTGGGAATGTTTTCACTCCCATCATTCAGGACCCTCTACTTTGTTGACTGGAGACTCATCTGGAAATGTAAGTTGCCAGTGGGAACCGAAAATGATAAGCTTGTTTGGTTAACATTCTGAACCCACAATTAGAACTTTTTTCTGGATTTTACATTCAAAACACATACAAACAAAGCAGAATTAAACAAGTGGGACTAGATTTAAAAAAAGATTCTGCAAAGCAACAAAATAATTACACGTGGACGCACATATTTAAATGTGGATATGGAACTAATCCTGTTCCGTGAAAACTTTCACAGAGTAATGCTCCTCACTAGTGGTGTGAGGAAGATGGTGTGAAAATTGTCAGAATCAAAATGGAGTCGCTTATGTTACAATATTTACAAGTGAAGATGGGTATGGTTATGAATAGAGGGTTCTCATGAACATATTTCTGATAACAAGAAATACCATAAAAATACACGACATAACCACAACCTTGAACAAAGGCTGCCACAACAATAAGAGAATTAATTTTGTGGGGATATCTACCCTGCAACTCCCTGTCCAATCTGAAACTGATTCCACCCTTCTTATTGATTCTCCTACCTCAGGATAAGTGTCTCAGTACAACTCATGAAAGCCTCCTCAGCTGTCTTTTAAAGCACTTGTCTTTCTTTACCAACCTAAATATGCCCATGCACATTCCCATTGCAATGCTCATTTTCATGTAAATAATACTTGGTGTTGGAGAGTCTCTTTCTGTCTGATATTTAGGTTTGACAAGCTGCAGATAGACACACCACTTTCCTGTGAGATGTACAGTATGACAATTTTTGGGGATGGCTGGAAACATCCAGTATCCTCAGGGCTTGGCATCAGTAAGTGCAGGCTGGAAGTCTCAGAAAGCATTGAAGCTAGTTTTTCACCATGAATTTTAACTTCTCCAGTTCTGCTCTGATGGAATCAGAGTCAGGCAGGTTGTCAGTGATAATCTACCTAACGTAGAGTCACAACCGATTACAGTTTTCATAATGTCTATTACAAAATTCACAACATCCCCTGGATTAGTGTTTTATCAAATAACTACAAAGTATTGTCCAGCCAAGTATACCATAAAAAGACCATTACCCATGGAGAAAAACATTTAAAATGAGTTCTACGTTCTTACATCATTAAAGGTATAAAGCTCATTATTTTTTAATGGGGCTGTTATGGCAATTTTTGTAGCTTCAGTGTTACCTCTTATTGCATTGACTTCCACCTTTATATTTGCCAGGAATCTGGGATAAAGGAGTGGCTCTGAAAGTTCCCTAACTTGGCCATTTTGGTGGATGTTCCAGAATATATAAGATGCCTTTTTGTTTATGAAGCATCCCAAAGCCATTCCCTGCCCTAAAACATGTTATTTCCTAGTTTGACAAATTGGTAGTTCTAATAAATTCAATGATCTTACATCAGATAGAGGACTATGTTCTAAAGGAAGGTTTATGTTAATAATGGAAATTTTAGTCATTAAGCTAGAGTTTTATTATTGAGGTGTGATTCATAACTAATAAGGTAGAGGGTCTCAGTGGAAGTGTCTGAATCTCTTGGGTGTACAGGGTCTACCTATTAACATGAAGCATTCATGAGCACGGTCAGTTTCCAGCCATGCTTCTCCCTGTCTCACACTCACAACAAACTATGACCTCACCTGAAACTTAGATTAATATCCAAATAGGTTATTTTTAAATCCTTATGCCTCTAGATTATTATGCAAGACTATTTCAGTAGAAAGTTAAAAAGAACATTTGTACTGACTAAACAACATAGAAAATCACTATTGAAATGGAAAGACCAGACATGAGAGGCTCCAGGCCTGGATAATGAACAGTTCATGCATGCAGGTAGCTTCTTTGCCCAGTTCTACACTGACACACCCAGCATGTCAGCTTCATTCCCCATTTAAGTCCTACTATGTAGGCACACGGCAATGACAACCTCAGGGATCACACACAGATATGAAAACTGGTGGGAATAGGAGCAGAGAAGTTTCTGCAATTTTCCTCTGAAGGACCAGGAAATCCTGGACAGACTCAAGACAGCACAACGTGCCCACAGGGACACTCATCCCTGAAAAGACTAGAGGACTCCATCGATGAGGCTGAGCATTTAAAAACATAAATTACTAGACAGTAACATCGAGGTTTCAATAACTAATTTTTATAGCTTATATTTAATTACCCCAAATTGTTACCTCTTTTTTTTTTTTTTTTCAGTGAAAAGTTGCTTGCCATGATTGAGTTATTGGTAGATTCCCAATGTCCACAACTGAGTTTACAAGAGTCTTGAGAACAAAACTGAATGAGGGCAGAGAAACCCAACTTCTGCAAATTTCAGGTTTCTGCTTCTCACAATTCCAACACAGGCTTTCTCTCTCCTCAAATGTTTAGCCTCAACTTGCTGTAAGATCACACCCTGTTCTTCACTTGTTCTCTGAATGATTTTATGAGGGTGAAAATGAGCCACTAAAATTGAAATTTTGTATCATCTCAGCCTGAATCCCATGGGAAGTCATGAATTATTCTTCTATTTATGGTTATTAATTTCTCTTGGCATGTTCATTAATAGTAATATTCAAAGCCATTTCACTTAAGTCTGTGATGCGTCATTTTTTGTTGCTATGACATCCCACTGGTGTTATATACCCTGACCTAGTATCCAGGCTAAGTTGTCATTAGTAATAACCACATATATCAAAAGTTATGCGTTCTATTCACAGCAGACATAATCTTCTCTTTCTGGGGATGAAGACACACTGCTGAGCTAACCCCACTCACAAGAACATATGCACAAGTATGTCATTTTTATGTATTTGCTTAATAAATTATATCATTCTCCCTTCAATTCCTTACCCCCCAGAAGCCCTGAAAAAACTCTTCTGCATCTGTTGAAATGATATAAAACACAAGGTGTGTACAAGGTGACCAGGTTCTTGATACTGGGTCCAGCTCTTCCCCTCTGATGTCCCACAGCACCTCAGCCCACCTGTCCGGGTTCTATCAAGAAAGTTTAGCTCCTTCACAGTAAATAACACAATTGAGTGAAAATGAACTGCAGATGATAGACAATATTTGAAAACTGCTCGTATGACAAAGGATTACTATCAAGCATATAAAATAAACCCAACTAAACTGCAAATAATAATGTGGTTAATAATGGGTGAATAGCATGAATGAAACATCCTTCAAAAGAAGACATGCACAGGTTAAACAGATACATGATAGATTGATTGATTGATTGATATATTTGTATATTTACACATACATGAATTGCAAGAAATCACTAATATTCACGAAAATGCAAATTTACTGAGATATCTTTTCATCTTTTATCTTTTCTAGAAAGTCTGTTATCAGAATAACAAAAAACAAAACAAAACAAAAGCTGGTTAAGTTGCATAGAAAGAGAGACTCTTATAGTTCACTGGTGGAAATGTAAATTAGCTGGGCCATCATGGGAAAAAACAGAACTATGATATAACTCACTAATAAAACTGCTGAGTATATATTTAAATAATTAAAAGAAAAAACTGATATTGAAGAGACAGCTATATACCCATGTTTATTGCAGCACCAATCAAAATAGCTTAGATATTAAATCAACGTATGCATCCATCAACAATGAACGGATTTTAAAAATGTGGTATATTTATACAACAAAATATTATTCAGCCTGAAAGTGAAATTCTGCCAATTGAAGAATCATGCATGGAACTGGACACCATCATATTGAGTGAAACAAGCCAGTCACAGAAAAATGAATACTGCATTATCTCAGTGTTATGTGGAAATTTAGAAAAGTTAATCTGGAAGTAAGCAATAGAGTAGTGATTATAAGATGCCGAGAAAGGGAGGAGCCTGGAAGATAAGAAGAGGTTTGTCAACAAATGCACAATTACAGGCAAACAGGAGGGAAATGCTCTGGTATCCAACAGCACATTACGGTGACTAAGGATAACAACATATTGTACATTTTATGTTTACAAGTGGTCAGAAGAGAGGATTTTGCATGCTACCTACACAAAGAAATGTTAGTGTCTGAGTTGATGAATTTGCTCCTTGTTCTGATTTGGTTATAACACATGGCACACATGTATTGAAATATCACACTGTGCCCCATAAATGTAAACAGTTATTATGGAAAAACTTAAAAATATATCCTTTTAATTGAAAAAGATTTTATTGGCATGCATTACAAATGATTCAACACAGAGCCTCCTGTGAAATGAAATAAATATCATTTTTTTGAGTAAGACCCAGAGTGATAAAAGAATGCAAATATTGTTAAGC